TTATACACTTAAAAATATGTTTATATTTATATTTCAGTAATACCTGGGATTATAGAAGTCTGACGCTCAATTCTTTCTCAGTGAGCTAAATAATATGCTGCTAGCAAACGTCTGTCTAGGCTAACTTTGAGGTGTATAGGCAGCTGCTCAGGTGTACCGGCAACTTCGAATTACGCTGTCCTTCTTCAGGTGTATCTCCACCTCAGCGAACACGCGAAATTAACTCCTCAAATTCATTCCCTGTTGTTTTGTTGTGGCCAGGCCATTCACCACGTCCTTCCTCTGCACAGGCAGCCCAAACAGCATACATAATAGAAGTAATACACTTAGCATGTATCAACGCCTGCAGCTGAAACTATGTATGCGGCAGTTAAGGAGTACAGGCACCAGAGAGGAACGGTGGAGGGGCTTGAAGCCAACACTCTTCACTTCCTCACTTCTTTAGATGTTGCATGCTGTGCTGTCTGCTGGCGGGACCAAAGATGCGTTGTAGCTATACTCGAGCAGTTCTGCCTAGCTTGCTGCAGCTAGCTATCTATCTATCTATCTAGCCAGCTAGCTGCAGCTAGCTAGCCACAGCCAGAGATCTCGCTGAGTGAAGCAGCGCATGCAGGCAGAGACAGCAGGCTTACTCAAAGCCCCGATAGGCGGCAGTATGAACCATGGCTTTATTTCTGTGTTCTCACTGCATGCATGCAGGTGGGCTGTGCTGCAGCAACAGCAGCAACTGCTGCTGCTGCTGCGAGCTACCGGCTGCCTCTTGCACCAGAGAGAGGCCCGTCAGCGCTGCATTGGGGCTGCCATAAGAAGCGGAGCGAAGCGACCACAGTAGCTACTGCATGCCCTGCATCTTCAGCAGCCTCATCTGCCTCTGCATGCAATTACATCACCCTCTGCATGCAGCTGCATCTAAATAACAGCAGCAGCAGCTGCATCTTTCTTTGCGTAAGAATGAGAAGTATCAACGGCCAAAGGCCTGAGAGGGCAGGTGCTTACCCTAAGGTGTAAGTACACCGCCGCTATATATTTTCAGGTGTACGAACAGCCCGCATGCATACATGCAGTGCGGTGCCTCCACCACCCATCGGTCTTCACTAGCAAACCCTCTTGCTTTTCCTTAACTCCCTAACCTTCAACTGCATACACTCGCTCGCATGCATTCGTAGACTGTAGAGAAAACCCACACTTGCTCAATCGCCTAAGCTGCATGCAGTGCTTGCATGCTGTGTTTGTGAGGGCGTCAGCACCACACAACAGCTCCAGGTGTATGTACACCTGAAGGGTCAGCTAAATACTATGCCTAAAGTAGTGTATACCTGCAGCTGTTCTATACGCGCGCAACAGCAAAAGGAGCAGCAGCAGCAGCAAGAGAAGCAGCAGCAGCAATAGCTGCATCGGTAGCAAAGAAAAAGACACAAATGAATGACCAAGCATACAGTCGGCGACCTGAGGCGCGAACAAATGCCAAGAAAACTCAAAGAGGAACAAACATTACCAACTAAACGAGCGGCAACCGCTGCAGCAGCTGTAGCAGCTGCAGCTGCGGCAGCTGCAGCTGCTGCTGCAGCCGCTACAGGTTCTGCTGCAGCCGCTGCAGGTGAAGGTGCAGCAGCAGCCGCAGCCGCTGCAGGCGAAGGTGCAGCGGCAGCAGCCCAAGTATAGAGTGCGGACAGCACTGGCTACTGCTGGCGCAGTTGCTGCTGCTGCTGCTGCAGCAGCAACCGCTGAAGGTCTGCTGCAGCAGCCGCTATTGCGCTGTACATACAGTGCATGCCGTCAAGCTGAGACGCACAGCGGTGTCCCTCTTATGCCTCTGTCCCTCCCTCGCGCCTAGTGCAGGGGAGGCGGCGGTGTCGAGACACCCCAAGTATCTGCGTCTCATTTCAGCAGCAGAAGAAGAAGCAGCAGCAGCACAAGCTGCCATGGCTTGCCCTGCGGCCAGCTGCTTCTGCTGCAGCAGCAGCACGGCCCTCATGATGTACCTGAGGACGGCGAGCGCGCCTCGACAGCAAGAGGAATCCCGGGGGCAGCAGCAGCAGCAGCAGAAGCATCAGCAGCTGTTACTGCTGCTGCTGCTGCTGCTGTCGTTTGCTGCACTCAGTAGCCGAATCTGCTGCCCAGCGTATCGAACTCCCCAGCAGCTCCCACCGACCGCGATGGCTGCTGCTGCTGCTGCTGCTCCTGCTGTCGCTGCATTGCAGCAGGAATAGCAACATGTGCACCGCGCTGCTGCGGCAAGGGGGCCGGCACGGTGTCTAGGCTCGCCTGGATCTTGATGACAGGCAGCATTTCTGAGTCAGCAGCAAAAGAAGACGGTGAAGGAGGTGCTGCTGCTGCTGCTGCTGCGGCTGCTGCTGCTGCTGCTGCTTTCAGCGTGGTGGGCGCCCTCTTCCGTTCAATCGGTGCACTAAAGGGGGAGGCCCTGTACGACTTGTAGGGGGCGACACTCGCGCTGCTTCTTGCTGCCGCTGCTGCTGCTGCTGCTGCTGCTCCTGCTGCTGCTGCTGCGGCTGTTGCTGCTGCTGTGCTTCCGAACTGCCGACGCCGCGCCAGAGAAGTGTTTATTCTGCTCCCGGCATAGGTGGTTGCTGCAGGTCTCCTCAGTTGCAGTCGCCCGCCAGCAAGCCGTCTAGTTCCCGCTGCAGGCGCGGGTGCACCTGCTGCAGCACCCCGATAGTAGGTGCTGCTGCCGACGCGGCTGCGGCGTGCTGCTGCTGTTTTGAAAGCAGCAGCAGATTTCAGTGTCTCTACCGCCTGTTGGTGAGGCGTGCGGACCCTTGGCCCTCTTCTTGTTGCTGCTGTAGCAGCAAGGGCCTTAGAAGCAGCGCTCCGGGGTGTCGCACGAGCAGCAGCAGCAGCAGCAGCAGCAGCACTCAGCCGCCCTCGATACTGCGCCGTTCGGGGCACCAAGAACGCCCCTCTACGGCCACTGACACCTGTCCTCCGCCTAAGTGCAGCAGGAGTCATGTTCTGCTGCTGCTGCTGCTGTTGCTGTGGCCTCTTCGCCTGCTGCTGCTGCTGCTGCTGCGGTCGCCGAGGAGCAATCAGCGCATCAAGAGGCAAGTTTATCTTGTCCTCTACTGTGAGGTTGCGGTTTTTCTGCTGCTGCTGCTGCTGCTGCTGTTGCTGCGGCCTTGGGCTATACTTGTTCTGCTGCTGCTGCATCGGCCTCTGATTAAACCTCACCTGCTGCTGCTGCTGCTGCTGCTGCTGCTTCAGCGGCCGCTTGAAAAGGCCGCCCCTCCTGTTAGTACGCTGAGGCGCTGCTCCCTTCTGGGGGCTGTTGACGGCGGGGCCTCTGGAGCCCGCGGAGGGGCCCCTGGGTCCTCTCCGCTGCATCTTGATGAGCTCATCAAGAGAGCAGCCAATCTTTGCCTGCACGTCCATGTTGCCGACTTTGTTGCTGCTGCTGTCGCTGCTGCTGCTGCTACGGCTACTGCTGCTACTTTGTTTGGTTGCTGCAATGCAGCAAGTGCTGCAGGCTCCCTTGAGATCTGGTCTGAGAGACAGCAGAAACAGTCACCAGGCACCCCTCCCCGCTTCCTTAACCCAGAAACACAAAAACCCCACCCTAGTTCAGTGTTGCAGACACCTCAGACACGGCAGTCCCTTCGAACGGCGCGCAGAAGCAAGACAGAGCGATGATGCGGTGGACAGGCAGCAGAGAGACGTGCGAAGAAGTAGCAGCAGCAGTTGCTAAGACCCCCGCTAGTGCTGCTGCTGCTGCGGTGGCGGCGGCGACTGCGGAGCAGCACCCCGGGGAGCTGCAGTGCGGGACGCGTGCAACAACTCAGAGACGTTCAGACGGAGTGTAAGTGGCTATACGAGGGAAGGAGGGAGAAAGAGGAGCCAGCGGTTCCAGGAGCGGCTGCTGCGGCAGCAGCCGCAACAGCAGCAGCAGCGGCGGTCGCCGCCCAGGGCGCTGCTCCTGCTGCTGCTGCTGCTACCATGGAGGCCGAGCCACTTCAGCTAAGGGACGAAGAAAACGTTCAAGAGATGCTCACGGGCTTAAGAGAATAGACGGAGCTGAAGCCGGATGACGTGGGCTGCAACGCTGCAGCGGAGCGGCCGTTAGAGAGGAGAGGCGAGGAGGACTGGGGGTGGCAGAGGGGAGAACAGAAATGCAGAAAGAAAATGCTGCTCCCGCCGCTTTCTCTTTGATGTACTATACTCCAGTAGTCATCAACTGCAAGCTCAGCACCGCAGCGTCTCGGATGCGGTGTCAATACACCTGAATTGCAAAAGACGCCGCAAGCCGCGAGGCCCTTCGATCTGCCGCTTTCAAGAGCCCCTCCAGTTAATAATCCTTTTTCTTTGTCCAGAGAAATAAATAATCCATAAAGGTAAAGAAAACACAAAGCAGAAACTCTCATCACCACGCCAGCCGCTCACTGTATAGACACCCGTACAACCCGCCGTAGCGGCTTCCGCTGGAGGCAGCAGGTGCAGCCAGCAACTGCGGCCGCTGCACGGGGGCGGCTATATCTTGTGCTTCCCATGAAATATTTAACTTGTTAAATAATAAATTAAATTTAGTTTGCCCCTAAAAAAGGAGTCAACGCGGCAGAACGCCGCGGCATTCGCTAACGGCCACAGGCAGCAGCACTTGTTGCTCGGGCGAACGTACTACCACAAGTTAACAGCCCCACAGACAACCGGCAGGCTTCTTAAACTTCTTTAGCATTCTCTATCACGTTGCAGTGCGGAGTGAAGCAGGCAGAAATAAGAACAGCGGCCTCGGCCCCCCCCAACCCCCTCGCAAAACGCAGACACAGGCAACACGGGCGGGCCCACATACAAAACATTAGTGTAGCAGACAAACCAAATAAAGCGTCTTTCTAAAGGTGCAGGAGTGTAGAGGATGATCCAGAAGGGGGAAGGGTTGTGGCGGGGGAGACGGCGAACGGCTAAGCAGCGGGCGTAGATAGATAAGTGTAACGCTGGTTCTCCGGCCTTAACCTGACCGGAGACGAGCCGCAATGAAGGCAAAGACTTAAAGT